ATTCATAAAAGTCCTAAAACAGGTAATTTTCCAAAAAATTAACTACTTACAATTCTCTGTACCTATTTTTTTTTCTCTCAAAATGCTATCACAGTATGATAATTGCATTGCCTCTAACAGTTTTCTATTCCTTCATAATTAAATAAACAGCTTGTAAATTGCACAACACAAAATGCCTGTGTTCTACTCTTACCTTAAGGGGTTTCCATAGTTACCAAGGACAAGAAATTTGACCATCAGTTGCCAGACTCGAGGCTATTCACAGACATAACTTTTTATTTTCTGTCTCTTTTTCACTTTGTCTCTATGTTTATTAACAGAATGAGGGAGTAATTTGGACTCAGTTAGCCACTACAAATGCAGTGATGTAAAATGGACCATGGTGCTTTAGTGTGTTAGCTGGATTTGTTTCTCCCAGGTCTTTTGGAATAATGCATACTAGCAATGCAGTCTATAGTTACCAAGGTTATGAAATACTTATCTAGCACTTCTCCAACTCAGTATCAAATAATTCATGTTTTAAAATAGGAAAGCATCTTTCTTAACACAGTGTTACAGTGTAGATGTATTTAGGCAGATATGCATTCTAATTGATACAAAAAAAAAAAAAAAAAACAAAAAAAGCATCAATGCAGACTTTGCATTGCTACTTTACAATAATTTACTTTTATCATTCAGGTCCCTCCATTTTGCGTATTACAAAATGTATTTGGAAAAACTGCACTTTGTAAAGCACAAACACCATTCCTTATACCAGTGAAGTAGAAAATCCTCTGATCTTCTTATCTCAAAAAAAAATCTTAATTTTTTTCTAAATTAATTCAGTTTTTTACCAGAGCATCCCTGTTGCCAATGCATAGAAAGTACTGCTAATTCACAAAGATATTTTTATCAAATTAAAATATTTCTATCTCATAGATTATGCTAGCTCCTGAGGTTACGAACTCAGTAATGATCAAAGGATCTTTTGTTTTAGAGGAAGAAATATCCACCATTAGCATATTTGGTAAATTAATATATATATTGTTAAATGCTATTGGTTTTTAGCTTTAAAATCTGAACTTGCATTTCATAAGAGTTGGATGAAACTTTCATAAGGACAAATGTATAATCTAATATCCATTTCTTCTATTTGATCTTCCTTGTTCTGGTTGTATATGCATACGGTTGTGTGAGCATTGTCAGACTACGTGGTGTTTTGATCTGACGTTTCCATCATCTCTATCTTATTGTTTGTGAGTAAGGAGGCAATTTGGGAAGGAACAAGGGGAAAAGTCTTGGAATGTACCAGTCACGCTTTTTTTGCCATTGTGTCTACACCAAATACACATTTTAATATCCTTTAGATGTAACCTGACATTTTTTACCTGTTTCTTTAAAATCTTGTAGCCTGTTGTTGAAAATGATTCTATTTATAGTGTTTCATATCTCCATGTAACAACTGATAATATGCTACCAAACTAAAACTGGTTTGTTTGGAATTAAGTATATTGTAGTGCCTTTAAATAGATGTCTTAAATCACTGCTAGTCTGTTTTTTTTTAAAAAAAAAAGAAAAAAAAAGTACCACAGTGCTCTAAAATGGTGACTTTAATGTGGCAGAAATGAAAAATGCAGCGGTTTGGAACACTGCTGTAGCATATCATATAATTTTTTACTAAGGGTTTCTTTTTTATTAACTTGTTTGTGGTTCACAGATGTCTTCTAAAAAGAGTAACTGTCATTTCGCTTTGATAATAAACCAAAAACAGATTGAGAAAGCATCCTTTCAATCATTATTGATATATTGCAGTTTAGTGGCTGTTCACTGATGTATATACCTTCAGGTGAAATCCTGAAAGTATTTGTATGACTTTTGTTTATATCATGGTTGGCACATAGTGACATGCTACTATAAGTAATTAAGAAAATTATGGTATCCAGGCTCTTGCAAAATTGCTTCTATGCAGTCATGTTGTTCACTCTACATAAATATCTGCCTTAGAAGAATACAGAAGATGAAAGTAAAGCAATATGTTAAAAGAAACAGTGTTTTATCAAATGAATTAGTGAAAAGGGAAGAGCAAAATACGACTTGAATAATTTGAGGGATCAGTGTTGTGATAGAAAACGTTTTTGCCTTCACATAATTGGTTTGAACTGAGCCCAAGTCAATACAGAATGCAAGTTCCTAATGTCTACATGGGGTTTCAAGAAAATGAATCCAAATTAACTTTGAAAAGAGACTGGCTAAACTGCATTACATTCTTTTATGGACACTGTTAATTGAAATTACAGTGGCCTTGATTCAATTTAGCTTAAATTAAATTCTAAATAAGAGTGTCCACACAAAGATTTAATGCAATATAATTAACCCACTTTAAAAGTTAATTCCAATTAAATTTCTAGAATGTTTCTGGGTGTACTATTACCAAGCTGTAATGTGATAGCCTTCATGAAAGAATTTAAGTTCTTTCATAGTGAAAAGTTAGTTCATAGATTGCTTCCATTTACACAACTGTGAGTAGTCTGAAGGGAATTACTTTTTTTCTTTTCACCTTTAGGGTGATATCCTCACAAAGTATCACAATCAATAAAACAACCCAACAAACTACTCTTAATAAAAATAATATGTAGGTAAATATAAAAATAAAGAAATATCAATTTTCTGATATTTCCTGTGGTTATCCTGTAAATAGCAAATGTTTTCGCTTGTATTGAGAAAACAAAGTACTAGTCAAACTTGGGAGTAAAAGAAAATGTATAAATAAAGGGACATGTAAAACTGATTTAGATTAAACTCTCATTTAAATTAAACTCTATAAGCCTTAGGAAGGCATACTGGAGGAAACATGAAATCATGTGAAATAAAGCTGTTTTCTGTATACCAAAATGAAATAAAAGAATGGAAAGGCAGACTGGATCAAACTTATCCTTGATTGAACTCCCCTGCAATGAATGGTGATTCAGGAGGATTGGATGTGTCCAACCACATTTAGGTCTTTCTGTTTAGTCTGTGTGATTCATTTAAGTCTTAGAGGGTTTTCAGAAGAGAACTGGAAAGCATTTGTGATGCAGCAATATCCACCCTGCATCCTACACTTACATGCTTCAAGGGACTGTAGGAAATCTTGACTATGTCCCAGAGTGAAGCAATGAAACATGCAAAGAGGAAAATAATTTGTGTTGTGAGTTTTGATTTATCTGGTCTCACAAGTAATCAGTTTGCATGGCAGGGCTGCCTATCTAGCCCTTTTTGGCCTCCACTGTATTTAACTGCAAATAAAATGACTAACAAATAGATAAAAGCTGCTGGGCTTTGAAACCTCGCAGGTTTTTAGGCATCGTTGCAATGGCTCCCTAAGCTGCTTTTGAGACTTTTAAAGTCCTATAGCAGTGGAAAGGAAAATCTCATTTTTAAGAATGGAGGAAGGGATACACAGCTATATAGTTTCAGTGATAAAAAAAAGTAAGGCTAAGAAGAAAGAAACATGAGATCTATGTTAACAAGTCTATTTGCTGATTTTGTATAATTATTATTGTGATGCTCTATGAATAATATAGTATGGTTTTCTTTGTCGGTGGCAAAAACAAGGAACTTTTAAAAATGTCGTTTTACTGAATATGAGCACGCAAAGTGTTTACACTTCAGCACTAGTCCACAGAGGTTCAGTCAGGTGGAAAGGATTTCAGGCCAGAAAAGGCAGGAAGAGGAACAAGAAAGTATAGTGAATGAATTTGAAGCAATGTGGTTCCATCAGCTCAACCCTTAACAGCCATATGGGGACACAAATCTGAGGCTGCAGGAGCATTTGCAGAGCAGATGTTGGTGGAGAATTTCTGACCCCAGTGGATCTCTCTGCCCACAGTTCAGTCTCTGTTCAGGGATGAGGGCTGGCCCTTGTGTGTTTTACTGTTTTGCTCAGCTAAAACAGATTGTGTGCTTGCCTCCCAGTATCTATACTGCAATTTTCTTGGCTTCCTGTGCTGGCATTGCTGCTTGAAGGGATCAGTCTGAGACCCTGAGAGCATTCAGAGTTACTCAAAAGAGAGTCAAAAGAGTCACTTCTTCAAAAGGTCATCCTGGGCTTTAGACCTATTTTATTACTCTTCTCCATGCTGTGTTTCGTGCAGAAACTATTTGCAGTGCTCCAGTGCTGATGTTACTGGAAGAGACTTCCCAGCATAATTAGCTGCTTACCACTCATAGATCCTCTTCAAATGTTTGGAAATCTGCCATTTAATTTGCAGCTGTAGAGTGGCTTGTTTACTAAAATATGCAGATATCTTTGCAAAGGGTTTTTCTCTCAATAAGCTCTTTAAAAGGGTGTGGGATACATCATACATAACTGCGCCATATAAAGTGAAGAAAAGGTGAGTTTTCTGAAAATATCTGCATATTTACTTACTAAGTTGTAAAAAGTGTCCTCATCCAGAACTTTTCAGGCATAAACTTGAGGGAGTGTTGTAAAGATTCAATTGCACTGTAATCATTTAATCACCTGAATATCTGATACTTTCTTACCATATTTTTAACGCAGTGATATATAGTCTCACATCTCATTCTTTTTTCAGTGGAGATGTATAGCACCAACTGAAGTGTATTAGATTATATAATATCATAAACCATATATTAGGTTAAAGCTATGGCCTTTGCATCATGTTGCTCCACTGTTGAAACTGTTACTCAAAGGACTACAGACTAGATAGAAAGCTGAGTTGCCAGATGCAACTGCCAACGATACAGCCAGAGAGCTCATAAACTTGGGAAAATATCTTTGCCATCTGCATACCATATCAGATAGATCTTTCAGAAAGGTGTAGGAGTTCTTTTTTTGGAATCGAGGTCCACTGTTAAAGGAAAATCCTACAGTGGTTCAAGTGAGTATAGACTTTATACTGGTAAAATAACAAAAAGTGATGAAAGTTTAGTATGAAGCCGAAAACCTAATTATAAAAAATGGGGGAAAAAAAAGAGGGAATAAAAAAGGAATGAAATATGAACCACCAATTTCATTACAGGGCCTGGGAGGAAGGCATCTTGACATCTCTGCATACACATTCTCGACAAAGTTAACTTTCAGTAGCGTAACAGCTGTATCCTTCAAGCTGCCTCTAAGAAGAAGTCTGCAGAGATAGATTAGCTTTGTCATTCTTTACTCCATCTTCTGCATTGGAGCTTAAGAGGACAATGCTTTTTCCTTAGAGGAAAATGTGTACTACATCAGGACTAAGTATCCGGTAAGTAGAAGAGAAGTAGAAAATGCATATCAGGAGTCGATTTGAGTGAAGATTTTCTGAGTTCTGTGGAGAAAAAAAAAAAAAAAAGAAAAAAAAAAAAGAAAAAACCCTAAAAAAAAAAACCTAAAGAAAACCCAAAAAACGAAAGCTATATATTTGTATGTATTTGTCTCTATGTGACCATAAAGAAAAAAATATATTACTATATAAGCAGAGTTTAAGAATTCTGATTGTGTCTGGGGAGTAGTCAAAACAATAAGAGTATTCTTAGCCTTTTAAACAAATTTTAAATATATACAGCAGAGGGCACTAGTGTTATTGAATTGACCATTGAATTGATATTTTAGTACTAGACAGATGAAAACAAATCGCTCAGAAGACAAAGAGTTGTCAACATAGACTAAAGAAGCATGGTCTGGAACACAGACCATGTGTGGATTTATAAAGCTAAATCTTTGTGTCTCTAGCATAATAGACAGATACTGAATAACAAATTATTCTGAGTTCCAGGTAAATCTTTATGTAAAGCCTATTAACATACTTCCATAATGTTCTTCAAGACTTTAAATTAATTTTCCACTGTGTTTATATACTGGCTACATTTTTTTTTCCCCAGGCTGTTTCCACACTCTTTATACTTAAAATGACTGAGACAACACTTCCTGAATACTTAAGCTCTTAGTAATGGAAAGATGCAAGCATAAAAGAAAGTGCTGGTTTTTTTTTAATATGTTCCTTCTTACACAAGGAATCTCACCACAGGATATTAGCCTCATGCAAAACTTGCAGGTTGGAAGTGAGGATTTTCAAGAGGTTGCCTGGCATAGCTTCTGCTGGCCAAGGTGACTTTTTTATATCATAAGATCCTCTGTACTTCAGTCCTTTATTCAAATAAAATGTTTTTATCATTATTGTCTTTTTTGACCCATGGAGCATGTGTGTATTGATGGAAAAAGAATTTCTGAATAAAGGAGTGAATTAAGAGAATGACGGGAGATGGTGAATCAAGAAGTTGGAACAGGAAGGAAGTGCCTTGCAGATCTTGCAGTATGGGTTGAAATGATTGGCTTTATGGAGGCTGGCAAAGCAGTTGAGCATAGTTTATGCATGTGCTGGTTGATGTTGAAGACATCTGCTCTCTCAAGTTTGTTATGCTTTTATATGCTTAGTAGTGTTTGCTACACTTTCTTGTTTCATCCAGTAGCTTGTCTAATCCTTCAGGATATCCCATGTACAGGAATGAGAGTACATAGTAGCAAAAAGAAAGGTAGAGAAGTCCTATGCCCTGTTGCAAAGCTGGCCTTTAACAGCAAATGCATACGAGACAAAACATAAAACAAAGCTGCAGCTCTACAATCCACATGTGCTTACCCAGGCCACACTAGCCATATAAGAACAACAATCAGTTCTGAAGCTTGATAGGGCAGGCTGAGTTCTTCTCTCAGTTACAGTGAAGACAATAACGTTGTTCCAATGCAGTAGAAGAATAATTTGATGTGGTTATGCATCTGTTTTGTTACGGATTAGTGGAGTCACTAAGGGATAAGTTTTAGAAGAGTAGAAAAAAATGAGGCAGGAAAAATGATAAACCTGCACAATAAAACAAACTAGGGACAAAAAATACAGGTAAAATATTAGGAGCTATCACAGAAGATGATTAATAAATATTCAGCATCAAAATTCATAGATCACAGATTTTAACTAATGAGCCTGAAATCAATATTAGATTCATTGATGTCTGACCACAACAGGCAGATTCCTCTTCATGGAATCCTTTTAATCCCCCTTTTTACAGATAGTTTTACTACAGTGGATTTTTTATTTAAGAAAACTTGTCTTTTAGTATGCTTTAGTGATTACTTTAGAAATGTTTATCCCTATATTTAACAAGCAAAAGCTTGAGATAGGGCTAAAGACACAAGAGCATCTTCTGAATGACCCTGTAAGCCCACATAAAAACAAAGGCATTACAGCAGCCACCCCTCATCAGAGTCTAGTATGTCACCCTAAACCCATGAAGCCAATGGTCAGGAGGGCTGTTATTGGCAAAAGGAAGGAAATGAGAGGCAGGAGCACTGTAACATCTGACACTACAGCCATGGTGTTCTCCAGAATCATATGACAGAAGTTAAGCCACAGAGAAGGAAGTTCGGTGACTTGCTCAAGGTTGCAAAACACATTAGTTTCATGAATCTTTCATACCAAGATTGATGTTTTATAAATAACACTTACAGAGCAAATCAAACAAACAGCCCAGATCTTCCAATTTCCATTCACAGGTATCCGTCATTGGCTTTTTTTCTGCAGTAAATTATTAAATGTGAGATGAGAACTCTTGCCAGATCTGAACCATTATAACAAGTTCAAAAAAATGCCTAAATGAATTCTCAAAACATGCATTGTCTGAATATACAATTAGAGAGAGTCTTTCAGTAAATGAATTGCTGTGAGATGCAGGTTAGTATATATTCTTTACAGAAAGATAGCTTCTTCAAACAAAATGAAACAATTCAGAGCCTGGAGTGGAAAACCTTTGCCTTTTAGTATTTTATTTTACTGAATACATGTATTATGTATCAGAGTGCTCTAGGTTAGAAATATGCTCCAAGCTTGCTGTAATTTATAAGACTTCACTTTTGGCTGATTTATAGGAAATTTCATTAATCTCTACAGCAGAGGGACCTTGTAGAAAGAAGCAGATTGAAAGTTAACTGAAGGCTAGGGGCTTGAAGAATTACCACGAATGAATCAGTACTGAAAGACTTAGAATGGTAATGATCATTTTTAGTGTAAAATTCTTTTTCCTCCTTACAGTAAGATCTGTGTGATTTTTTCTTTAAGAGATGCTAATGAAATTGTCAACCCTGCAGGTACACATATTTTTCAGCATTTAAATGGCTATTCTTATTTCTGTGTTGGGCACACATATACTAATGAGTGTTTCTCTGCTGCTGGTGCCAAAAAAAAGAATTGAAGAGGAAATATCGTGAATTTGGATGATACTGTTTAATGATAGGGAAGAACTGGTGCTCAGTGTGTTTCTTTTGTATTTTGTGATTAAAATCTAAAATAGGGAGATACTGCCCTAACATTTCCATGATCTACTACATTTAGTATTAAAAGTTTTATTTTTATTCAGACTCTAATGTAGGAACTCCATTTATAATGACAAACAATTTCACCCATTAAAAAATACAGGAATTGTCACTCCCTCTTCATATTATCTGTTGTTTGAATTTATTTATAATGTGTTAAGAAAGTTGAAACCTTAAACATTCATTATTATTATCTTATTTTTTCGGGGGGGATGAGGGAGGTGCTTGCCACTTCTTTCAACTCTCTTCTTGATTTAGAATATTTCTTTTAAGTATGGAGTGCTGCTGAAATTGTTATCTGCCTCTGTCATCATATCACATGCATTATACTTTAGAATGAGAAGGAAAAGTCTGGACATTTCTTATCTCGTTGTGAATTACAGCTAGCATAACTGTACAGGAACTGAAATATTAGACTTTGCATAGCTATTTGTGCTACAATTTGATTAAATTGGTAGAGTTGTGTGAAAGAACTTGAGAAGTCTCTATTTAGAGATCACATTTAAATATTTGGTATTAATTTAATGTCCTTCTTCTCCCTTCTTTCTTTCAGACTATTCAAACTCCAGAAGGACCAACACTAGATAAATTATGAATGTTGAACAAGATGACCTTACATCCACAGCAGATAATGATAGGTCCTAGGTTTAACAGGGCCCTATTTGACCCCCTGCTTGTGGTGCTGCTGGCTCTTCAGCTTCTTGTGGTAGCTGGTCTAGTGAGGGCTCAAACTTGCCCTTCAGTCTGCTCCTGCAGCAACCAGTTCAGTAAAGTGATTTGTGTACGGAAAAATTTGAGAGACGTGCCAGACGGCATCTCCACCAACACCCGGTTACTCAACCTACATGAGAACCAGATCCAAATCATTAAGGTGAATAGCTTCAAGCATCTGAGGCACTTAGAAATACTGCAGCTCAGCAGGAATCACATCAGAACAATTGAAATAGGGGCCTTCAATGGTCTGGCCAATCTTAATACTTTGGAACTCTTTGACAATCGTCTGACCACTATCCCAAATGGAGCTTTTGTATACTTGTCAAAACTGAAGGAACTTTGGTTGAGAAACAACCCCATTGAGAGCATACCCTCTTATGCTTTTAACAGAATCCCTTCTCTCCGGAGACTGGATTTGGGAGAATTGAAAAGGCTTTCATACATCTCAGAAGGTGCCTTTGAAGGTCTGTCCAACTTAAGATATTTGAACCTTGCCATGTGCAATCTGCGAGAGATTCCTAACCTCACCCCACTTGTAAAACTGGATGAGTTAGACCTTTCTGGAAATCACTTGACCGCCATCCGGCCAGGTTCCTTCCAAGGGTTAATGCATCTTCAGAAATTGTGGATGATACAGTCCCAGATTCAAGTGATAGAAAGGAATGCTTTTGATAACCTTCAATCACTTGTGGAGATCAATCTGGCACACAACAATCTAACACTACTGCCTCATGACCTGTTCACACCACTTCGTCTAGAAAGGATCCACTTGCATCACAATCCTTGGAACTGCAACTGTGATATCCTTTGGCTCAGCTGGTGGATTAAAGACAAGGCACCCTCTAATACTGCATGCTGTGCCCGTTGCCACACACCTCCCAGTTTGAAAGGAAGGTACATTGGTGAGCTGGACCTGAACTACTTCACCTGTTATGCTCCAGTCATAGTGGAGCCACCAGCAGACCTGAACGTCACTGAAGGCATGGCTGCAGAGATGAAATGCCGGGCATCAACCTCCCTGACCTCTGTATCTTGGATTACTCCAAATGGATCTGTTATGACACATGGGGCATACAGAGTTCGGATTGCTGTGCTCAGTGATGGCACATTAAATTTTACAAAGGTAACTGTGCAAGACACGGGTTTGTATACATGCATGGTGAGTAACTCTGTTGGGAATACCACAGCTTCTGCCACACTGAATGTGACTGCCCTGGATAACCCCGGCTATACATATTTTTCAACTGTCACAGTGGAGACTGTGGAACCTTCTCAGGATGAGGCACAGACAACAGAGCAGGTTGGGCCCACACCAGTTACCAACTGGGAGACCACTAACATGACAACCTCACTCACTCCACAGAGCACAAGATCAACAGAAAAAACGTTCACCATTCCTGTGACGGACGCAAACAACGGGATCCCAGGAATAGATGAGGTTATGAAGACTACTAAAATCATAATTGGTTGTTTTGTGGCTATCACTCTCATGGCTGCTGTGATGCTGGTAATTTTCTACAAAATGAGGAAACAGCATCACCGGCAAAACCATCATGCTCCAACACGGACTGTAGAAATCATAAACGTGGATGATGAGCTTACAGGTGACACACCCTTAGAGAGTCACTTGCCCATGCCAGCAATTGAGCATGAGCACCTAAATCACTATAACTCTTATAAGTCTCCTTTCAACCACACAACAACAGTTAACACAATAAATTCAATACACAGTTCAGTGCATGAACCGTTATTGATCCGAATGAACTCAAAAGACAATGTACAAGAGACTCAAATCTAAAACGTTTATGACATTATGGGGTGGGGGTGGGAAAAACAAAATATGGTTTATAAAAAAAATGACACAAATGACTGGGCTAAATCTACTGTTTCAAAAAGTGTCTTTACAAAGAAAAAGAAATTTATTTATTAAAAATTCTATTGTGATCTAAAGCAGACAAAATTATGTGTATTCCTCAGAACCTCTTTTTGCTGCACTTATTTACCCTCCTCCTCCCCTTTTTAATTCCCAGCCAACCCTGGTTCCCATTTGCCATATTTTTCATAGGAGATCTTGATTCCGTACAGGAACTGGCCTAGGAAATTTTGTAAGAATTCTGTTACACTTTGGGAATTTTTATGGTGAATACTAGTGGTGAGATTCAGTCTATTTTGTCACTTCTTTTTCTCTTTTTTTGTTTTCTCATGCCCTTTATGAAATTATTCAACAGGGAATGGAATATTAGCAGCAACTTTACAAGTGAGCAAACATACAAGCAAAACTTTTTTTCCTCCGTGTAATGATTTGATTAATTGCTCTGTATTTACCAAAAGGAGCATCCTGTGAAAAAAAAAAAAAAAAAAAAAAAAGGAAGAAAAAGTAAAAAATAAAATAAAATTAATCTACTTGTGAAAACCTATAAAACCCATGATCTTTTAAGCAATTCTAGAATCAGAATTTGTAGTTCAAACACTATACTAAGATTATAAATAAAATACTGTTTTTTTTTCTGTACTTGGATATAGTTCATTTTTAGTGTGGCTTTAAAGATCAAAAGCTTGTTAAAATTCTTACAACATTCTGCTTTGATGGTCCAAAAAATAATTGTGTTAAAAATAATAGTTAAAATATTTTGGATCATTACTGAAGAATAGCACAGTTTTCATTTTAGTGTACATAAGCAGCACACTAGCAAACAAGGTTGCTTGAATTTTAATGCAAAATTATGATTATTTTCTTCTCATGGCGTTATCAGTTATGTTTTATATCACAATATGTATTCCACAATATCAGGAAAAGTTCTACAAAAAGTTTCGGGTATCACTGAATTTATTAGACAAAGGTGAAAAATATATTCTTTTTTTGTTTTGTTTTTTTTTTCTTTGCTATCTATATTTCTCAGTCAATAAGAAAATTCATTTTCTTTTCATTGCATCAAAGCTAGTGGTTCCCAGTTTAGTTGTGGTAATTCTAGACATAAATATGAAATATGTTTAGATATCCATAAGATCTATAATCAGAGCTGTATCTCTGTGTACAAAATTAAATCAAAATTTGAAGTTCTAACTAAGATGAAATCCAAGAATTTTGATTAAAAACAAACAAAAAAATCAGAAAGAACAAACTTGGCCAAATCAGAAGAGAAAGGGTTAACATGACTTGTATGACAGTTAGATTGCATATAGCATAATCAGCCTATTTGAATTAAAACTCAGACTTGTTTGCCAATAGGAAGTGTACATCCTTTTCGATTCTGTTTATGTACATCTCTTGATTTAGCTTGTTGTTGTAGAATGGAGTATACCTTGTATGTTGAAAGCTAAAAGGAAGATTTTGCATAAGGAAAAAAGAGATTCAGGACATTGTATTCTTTCAAGTGCAGAAGTTCTTCCAAATTAAACTATTTTACATATTGGCAACAAAGTAGAAGCATTTTAAAACAATTTAGGTTAAGAAAAAGAATCATGAATTAAATATCAGTTTTAAATGTCTTTTCACTGATTTCTGCATTTATCTACTCATACTTTTGAGATTCAAAATCCTGTTCCAGGTGAATAATGTACCTAATTCCTAACAAAATCTCTTTGGACTGTTCTGGTATGCTACAGCATGCAGAAAAAGATCCTCCTGAACAGTATACTTCTATTCCCTAAAATTAAGGAGGAATATCTGCCAGACAGGTTTAGGGGGTAAATATCTCTCTTTGGATGCACACTTCTCAAGGTTGCAAGGGAATGTTGCAAGAATGCCTGATTTTAAAAGGACACTGAAGATATGTGACAATGAATCACACTCTGCAAGGAGTCTGATAAGTATAATACAGAACGAAACCCAAAGTTCTATAATAATCTCAAAGAAACATTTGGCAAGACATTATCCTTTGATGTACTACATGAAAAATAATATCTACTCTTAGAGAATTTTAATAGAGGACAAAGGTGGACCTGAATGTAAAATGCTGAAGTAGTGATTCCTCTCGTTGCCTACTTCTTCAAAGTGCATTACAGAGTTTTATTGCTGATTTCTTTTAAGCATTGTGATAAATTTTGTACAGAAATACAAATACATAGCTATTTGTACTTTGCCCATCCTTATGGTTACCAATATTAGGTCCATAGTCAATGCTTATCTGACAATTGAAAAGATTGTTTGCAGAAATCCTAAATCAACAGGTTCATGTTAAGAAATGATGGCTACTATTTAATAGCCATTTTCTAAAGCGCTTATGGTCACCATGGTTTTATAAACATGTAGTTTTTACTAACTCCTGCAGGTTAGGTTTTGGAGGTTTTGGAGCAGGACACAATATCAGTGACAGTAATACGGTAAAGTAATGCAAAATAACATCTGTGACTATTTAAAACAATATATACATTCTTATTAAGTATTAATCAGGTTTTATTGGCTAAGTGAATAATATTAAAAACAATCAAAAAAGCAATATATTCCCATATTATAGGGATAAAGAAAAGGTATTTTAGTATGTTTGCTTGGGATAAGATATATATTACACAGGAATCATACTAGCTATGACTTTCTCAGCATCTTCCCTATCCTTCTTAGAATTATAGAGATTATTTTTGCAGATTATTTAAATACCAGAGTTAGAAAACGTCACAGCTTAAACTTTAAACTGAGTTCTGCAACAATGTGAAACGTGTGCTGTGCACTTTCTTGTTGTGGTTTTTAAATCAAGCTAATGCAGCCTAGTGCTACTCCAAAGACTACGGTGTTAAATAAAAAAACTGAGTCTCCTGTATGGCAGAGGACAATTGATAGTAAGCTCTAATGAACTATATCGTGCAGATAACATTGTGGATGAACCCACAATCCAAAAGAGTTGTGGGAAAAATACGAACTATTACAATTCTTAGTGGGCTCACGAGAAGCTATTTTTCAGATCATATGATGAGATTTGAAGATGTTTGCCTGTTATCCTATATGAATACAAAGAACAAAGCATTTTCTGGACAAGTCATTAAGTTTTACAAATCTTTTCTTATACAGAAATAACGTGAAAAGGAAAACAAGTGAGTTCCATTCAATTAACTATACAAGATAGATATTTTATTTTACTTTGAAAAGGGCTAAATGTATGAAAAGTAATTTTTTTTTTTTTTTTTTTTTGCTAAAATATTTTAATGCATTAAAAATTATATGTAAGATTTTCAAGATTCCTTTCCCCACTGGTGGCATTATAGGTTAATCTCAGCATTTGAGAAAAGATAACCAAGTTAATATTCAAATGTACTAGCTTCATAGATACGACCATTCCTGTAGCCCTTCAGTAATGAGTGGAAAATCTTTCTATTCTCCCCATTTTCCCATTTTTATATGAATCATAGAATCATAGAATGGCCTGGGTTGAAAAGAGTCACAATGATCATCTAGTTTCGACCCCCCTGCTATGTGCAGGGTTGCCAACCACTAGACCAGACTGCCCAGAGCCACATCCAGCCTGGATGAGCTAAGTACAGCATATTTTGAAATTCTCATTTTTTTTCTAAGTCCAGGTACTGAAGGACTAGGAAATCTTAGGAGCTACCTTGTAATTTCATATTTTAAAAAAGTAAACAAAGAAGTAATATATTCTTATCTTCAAGATGTAATAAGGAGAGTTAGACTTCAGTATTTTTCTGTTTTTCTTACTGTAACTATTTCATATATCTTTTTCTCATTCATGCAGATGCCCAAGAATCTTCAGCTCAAACTTGTACATGAAATTCAGTCTACAGTTAGGCTGTAGACATTTTGTTTTGGAGGTGGTATTACTTACTGATACTGTAGTAGAATAGCATCAACAGCTACCACAACTGAAATGTAAGAGAGCTAGCAGGGTGTTCATGAGAAAGGAATGAGCTTGAGGAGACTGGAAAACCTATCTGTTAAATCTTCAATGTCTGCTGCCATTGCATACTCCTTCTGTGGTGGTGTCCCATGGAAACACTGTGGTTGTGTGTACTTTGGGGCGAAAAGAGCATGGTATGGTAGAAAAGCTGTGAGATGGGAACAACTTCCTTGAGTACTTCCCACCTAACAGCATGGTGTAACAGCTCAGCTTCTGACATGCAGCACATGGATTGAAATGAGGGAATTATTTTTTTTGTTTATTAGATTTAAGGTTTAGTGTGCACTAAACAGCTTTAAACCTTAAGGAATTAAAAAAAAAAAAAAAGCGCCACAGGTCTACAGTGTAAATCTTACACAACCACAAAGTCATTATATTTCAACAGAATCCTAAACTTGTTTGAAGAAGTTTGGGTAAGTCTTTGCAGTATTAAGAACTCTTCGAAACAAATAAGGTTTGTACTGGAGTAGTTGCATGCTTCTATTTGCTTCAGAAAGAATAACTCATGATTTGATTAGGGGAGTTTTATTGGACAAAACAGTGTGTTTAATTTGTCTTGGTTTTAGTTTTGTTTTTTTGTACTTTATAAACTCATGCCTAGGATGTTATTCTGAGTAATCTCCAAAGGGCTAAATTGGTGAACCCTGACTAACTTTTATAACAGATAAGTATATTCTATACTGTAATTCTAATGACGTTTTCAATTTTGGAATGATGAGGATATTTTGCAATGATGACATTATCAGATGATGATTTTATGGCTATCTTTTGTAAAAGAAAAAGGAAAATACTGTCTGTCATTTTTGAGAACATTGAAAACCCAATCTTATGCAAAAGTAGAAAATAGTTGGAAAAAGAAATTGGAACATTATTGAAAATGACAGTAAATGTAACGATTCCTGGAAATCAGATAATTTAGGTGATCTTTACATTTTTTCCGATAGCATAATAAGAAAACAAAAATTTGAGTGACTTTTCTACATATTGTTTAAAATGTTAAAGATTTCTGTCTGTCCTAGCCACAAATTTCCATTTTCATTTGAATATCACAGTACGTATATGATGTAACGTGGTCTTTCAGCTCTGGAACTGTTTCTCAGACAGTCCATCCACACTTCATCCATTGCAGTTCATGTTTAACATTCTCTTGGGCTGTCCTCGGTCTTGAAATGACTTGTGCAGTGAAAGATTCTTCGGTTTCTTTGATCATCTAGTTCAATAGCAATATATGCTTCTTATATCAGTTTGGAGAAGATGGTTTCGTATGGATTATATTTGCATCAGATTTAATATATAAATGGAAATTTTATTTTATTTTGGTAGACAATGTTGAATCCTGTTAACTTCAAAAGTACTTCTGTTCCTTTCAGAGAAGTTTTAAACTCAAGTACAAACAATAATAGTAATAACAAAAATTAAAGGTAACTTATAGCTGTGACCTAT